TCTCTTCTTGCCCTACACATAACAAAACATTCCTCAGAATCCCAAGTGTGCCTCAACATTTTTATTGTTAGCCTTTAGTAAGAATCTCCAAATAAATTCTAGCCAATGGTCTCATTTCTCCACAGGCATAAGGCAGACAGATGGAATAATGCCATCCAAGATGGGGGTGTTTTTGCTATTTTAAAAATCCCTGAGTGCACTTTTTTTTACCCTGATTCATTAGTTTCTTCAATATATATTTAATAAGCACCTTTAATAAGTTATACTGAATAAGTATAAGTTAATAAGTATATCAAACATTACTAAGTTTGATATCCTGTGCCTGGTAATGAGGAGATAGGAAGATAATCTATATCTTTTCTATTGGTGATCATTATCAGTTTCCATCAATAATCATTCAGGCTCCGCATCTCCCTCTTGAGCTCTAGGCCCACATCATCAGCTACCTGGTGGTCATTCTCACTTAGATGTTCCATTGGCAAATCAACTCAACATGTCCCAAATAGGAAAACAAAATCTCATTCTTTCTAAACTTAGGCTCTTCCTAACTTTCCTATTCATGTTGAAAGCACTACCATTGTCCTAGTCATCCAGGGTCATGACCTTGACATCTTCCTCAGTTCCTCACATTTGCTCATCTATGCATTCATTCAATAATTACTTATCAGATACCTACTACAAGACACTATTTTAGGTCCTAGAGATACAAGGACAAAGCAAAACAGCCCCTATCCTCAGGACATATCTGAGACTCCATCAGAACCCTTTACAACAGCACAATTCTGAGAAAGATCCTTGGAGCACTTCATTAGGGACCTCTAAGTTGACATCAACCCGTTAATGGCTACTTTGGGATATGGACATGCTACCATTTTGAACCTATCTTATAGTAGTGCCATTTAGACTATATTTCTCCATTCTGTTCACAATATCATAAAAACCATAGATTTCAGCCAAGCATTTGAAAATGTATTCTATGTCTAGGGTATTTCCTTATTCTACCCATCTAATTATACTGCCTATAGTGTGCTTAATTCTAGATACTATAGGTTAGGAGGGACATAAAGAGTTTCCAAAAGAAGGAAACCAGTATAGTGAGAGGACTGGCCACCATGTCATATGGGAAGCAGTTTAAGGAACTGGGGAAAGCAGCTGGAAAACAGAAATCTTGTCAGAGGAGATGGTGGTGGAGGTGCTTTCAAAGGGCTGCCATATGGAAGAGGGATTAAAGGCAAAACCAAGCACAGTGGGGAGAATTTATAGAAAGCCAGATTTAGGCTTAAGGCCAAGAAAGATTTGGGGCAGCTAGGTGGCACAGTGGACAGAATATCTGGCCTAGAGTCAGGAAGACTCATCTTCCTGAGTTCAAATCTGGTTTCAGACACTTACTAGCTGTATGACTCTGTGCAAGTCGCTCAACCCTGTTTGTCTCAATTTCCACATCTGTAAAATGAGATGAGCTGGAGAGGAAATGGCAAAGCATTCCAGTATCTTTGCCAAGAAAACCCGAAAAATGGGGTCATGAAGAGTCGGACATGACTGAAAAATGACTGAACAACAGTCACAACAAAGAAAGATTATGGTCAGAGCTGTCTCAGGTAGAGTGAACACCCCCTCAAAGTCTTCCAGCAGAACTCAGTTGTCGGGAAACGTGAAGAGAAGATCCTTTGTCACATATGGGTTCACCAGATGGCTTCGGAGGCTCTGTTTGATTCCAGAGTTAGGGAGGGTGGGCCTGAAAATGGGCAGACACGGGACACAGCGTTCTAGCTTTAGAGAATCACGCAAGCACAGGGTTTTTCACTTTACGTTCACATGTGCTTCCTCTTCTTTTCCCCTTCCATCCATGCTTTTTTCTCCCCCCCATCTTTCATTTTTCTTCTGTCTTGACTATATCTTACACCTCCCAGTGGGTGACTTGGAGACTTTCAGATAAGTTCTGGTCCAGGCCGCACAAACCTCCTGACCATGAAGAAGGGGTTGGGAAAGGTTCCAAATGGAAGGGGACAGAGTAACGCCAAAGCACCAAGAATGTAAACATTCTAATCACTGTTTGAATGTGTAAATATTAGGTTACCTTAAAATCCCCTTGATAACAGCTGGGATGTTTACTATTGAACACCTATAAGAGGTGCCAATATTGTCTTCCCAATAAATGAACAGGGAGATTCATAAGGAATTTAGATACTTGGTTTTATTAACACACAAGACTTTTGGAATCGTAGAACCTTCAGGTACCTTAGCCTGTCTGGGGCTACGCAGAACAGGGCTCACGCCTTGAACATTTATTTCCTGTTTGACTTTGGAAGTCATTTAATCTCTCTAGGCCTCAGTTTCCTCATCTGTAAGATGAGGGAGTTGGATGTGGCCACTTCCAAATCTAGATGTATGGATCATGATTCCCAAAGTCTTTTCTCCTCTAGGCTAAGCAGATCTAGATCCTTTAACAGAGTTTTGCGTTCATTATGTTGGGCCTTCTCCTCTGAACATACTTATAGGTCTTTCCTGTAGTGAGGCACCCATGAGTGAATATAATATGGCAGATGTTTACTGATCAGGGCCAAGGACAATGGCATTATCATTTCCCTTCTTCTGGTCATGAGGCTTCTATCAATGAAATTGCTGTTTATAATTACATTAGCTTCTCAGGTTACCATGACACATATTCACAGTGAGCTTGTCATCTAGCCATGTCTCATGGTACCCTGAAAAAAAAAAAAGCACTGGATTTTAAATCAGAGGACCTGGGTTCAAATCTCAGCTCTGCTATTTACCCTGTGACTCCATCTCCCTTTATCTGTGAGATGAAGGGGCTGGACTGGATAACCTTTAAGATCTGAATCAATGATCCCATGGCCTTAGCCACTGATTTTTTTTTTTTTATTTTTTAGGCAATTGGGGTTAAGTGACTTGCCCAGGGTCACACAGCTAGTAAGTGTCAAGTGTTTGGTCAGAGGCAGGATTTGAACTCAGATCTTCCTGACTTCAGGGCCGGTGCTCTATCCACTACTCCACCTAGCTGCCCCTTAAGCAACTGATTTTTGAATGCACAATTTTACTTTTATCTGTATTAAATTTTTCTTATTATACCTGCCTATGGTTCTAGCCCGTTGAGATCTCTTTGGACCCTGATTCTATCATACGATGTTTTAGCTATCTCTCTAAGCTCAAGTTATCCTTTAACTCGATAAGGATGCTATTCTACATTTTCCTCAAGCTCACTGACAAAGATGTGGAACAGAACAGGGCCAAGGTCTTCTAGTAGAGACTCCTTCCAAGTTGACTTCATTCCATTAACCAGCACCATCAAGTCCATTTATTCAACTAATTCCAAATGCACCCAATTCCATATCTCTCCATTCTTTCCTTTAGTCAAAGAACAAAGAGTAAGAGTATATGAGCTCTAATATCTTCTTTTCAAATGAGTAAGTTGAACTCTTAAAATACCCTACTGGAAGTCCAGAAGATGAGATAAAATAATGACAAACACAACATACCGGCTTAAATATTTGGTGAAGAAACGTCTGTAGCCATATATTTTAAAGAGCCATCAGTAGCAAACTATGCCCTCCTATGGTCTAACGGCCACTCGCTGCTGCTAGTTAATCATCTCGTTATTTTTTCACAAGATGCAGGTATCCTTAGAGGCTGTCTTTCTTCCTGAGAATATAAACTCAAAGCGGAAACTCTTTCTGGATTGAATTTTTTCTTAGGTATTTAGCGAATGAGTGCATAGAATACATTTTAGATGATGGTTATTGGTTCATTCAACACATTTTATTGAGGACCCAAGGCTCTTCACTGGCGAGATATTGTTTTAGATGCCAAGGTAAACGAGGTACAGTCCCTGCCCTCAGGGAGCTTCCATTTGAATGATGCAGTACACTACTAAACACTCACACAAATTTTCTCTTTTGATTTTCACCCACAAATGAAAATGATGAGGAAAGTCATACAAGTATTAGCCTCATCTTACAGATTAGGAAACTGAGGCTGAGAATGGTGAGGCGAATTTTCTAGGGGTCACAAAGCTAATAAGCAATGGAGCTGGTTGGGACTTGAACCCCAGGCTAAGTCCAAGTCCTAAACTCTTTTACTACATTAGATTGCTAATACCCATGAATTTTAAAAAACAAAACATTTACTTTCCCGTACCCAGATATTTTATAGTATTTAGGTGTACAGTGGGTAGAGTGCTGGATCTGAAAACCCGAGTTCAAATGCTGCCTCTGACACTTTGGACAAGTCACTTAACCTTTATCTGTCTCAGTTTCTTCATCTGTAAAATGGGAATGATAAGAACATCTGACTCCCAAGATTATTGTGAGGGTCAAATGAGATAACATCTGTAAAGCGCTTTGCAAACTGTAAAGTACTATACAAATGCTAGTTATTATTATTTCAAGAAAACACTAAAAAGGGAAGATCTGATTCTAATTTTTGTGCATAGTTTTACTCTATATAAATAACTTTTCTGTAATCTTTGGGTCTACTCTTAAAATTATTTTGACCATGAATATTAGCCATTTATGCTTAAATTCTGAAAGTATAATGTAACTTGCCAAGAATGGGAACATGGTCTGAGGCTAGCAAGATGAGTTTTGTTTTCATTGTTTCAAGCATCAGACACACACACACACACACACACACACACACACACACACACACACACACACACACACACACACACACACACACACACACACCTGGGGTTGAGCTGTCCTGGTATCTAAATGAATGGCATGGGATTCACTGGCCACAGAAAGAACACAGGGTAACAGACCTTCCCGTGACCCTCATCACTTTTAGAGCTTTTTTTTAAAAAAAAAAAAAACAACCAATTGAAATAGCTGAACACTTGAAGAGAGGAGGACGGGGTGTGGGGCACGGCCAACGCACGGCATCGTTCTGTTTCCTTGCACAAGAGGACGGATCGGTTTCGACATCTGAGCGAACACGGGATCCCATTCTCACCCCCCAGAAGCAGAAGCGAGGTTTACCTGCAAAGGAAGTAGACGGCCCCGAGGGTCAGTACGCCTAGGAGCAGCGCTACAGTCAAGAAAGCTGCAAACAGCTCACTCTCGCTTTGGGTCTTGGTACTCGGAAGGAAAACCTCTTCGCACCGGGCTCCTGTGTAATTCTCAATGCATCTGTGAAATAAAGCGTGACAGACAAATTACATCTCCAGGTCCAGCAGCTGCCCTAGGGAGAAGGCGCGCATTCTGAGATTCAGTCGACACAAGGCAGCCCTCCCTCCCACAGGCAGATTTCCATCTTCCCGGTATAATGAGGGACGCCCAAGGCAATGACTTTTACTTTCTTAAAGCCCGCAAGAGGTGGGGTCGTGGAGAGAGATTTGACCTCGGGGTTAGGACAATCTGGGTTCAAATTCTGTCTCCGACACATACTGATTTGGGGTCACGGAAGTCGAGCCCTAAGAAACCTCAGAGGCCGTCCCTTAGGGCCCCAGGAAGCTCTCAGACTAGAGGACCTGCCCTGCTAAAGAGAGTTTGCTTCATTGGCAGCACCCTGTACTAAGGAGATCACAAATCTAGACACACACACACACACACACACACAGACAATAGCAGGGGGGCAACTGAAAACCAGTCCAGTCAAAGGGGCGGATCACCCAAAGACTGAAGCCTGGGGGATCATGAAAGGATCTACTAAGAGAGTGTGATGTGGAGAGATCACTGGAGTTGGACTCAGGACCCGGGTTCAAATCCTGCTCTGCTACATACTGCCTGTATAAACTCGGGGAAATCACAACCTCTTTGGGCCTCAGTTTCCCCATTTGTAAACAAGGGAGTTGGATCTCTGAGATTCTGTCCAATTTCCATGATTCTATGGAAGAAGTGCTCACATCAATGAAAACAGAGACCTTTGGAAGAATGAGGTGTGAATGAATGATTACTTATTAAGTAATAAGTAAGGGGGTCTGACTATTGTGTTGCTTGCAGAATTGATCTCCACTTCATAGCCACACCTTGTACACAGATGAAGTCATATCCCCACCTGCCATTAATTGGTTCCTTGAACAGTTAATGGTGTAGTGTTCTGCACACAGTCAGTCCACAGCGAGAGGGATTTCATTTATATGATGAACTTCCAGGTGAGGAAATTCTCTCCACTAAAGCAGGTTGGCACTTTTCTTTTCAACCACCACAAGGGATTAAGCACCTCACCCAGGATCACACAGCCAGTATGGGTCACAAGCAGGATTTGAATCCAGATCGCCCTGTCTTGGAGGTTGGCTCTCCAGCCTAACACCAGGTCCCTGCACATATTAATAAAACATTTGTAGAATGAACAATCACCTCAAGCGCTAGCTCTGACAGCCACCAAGCACCCCATTTCAGTCTGAGACATTCACGGGCTGGGACAATGGGGATCTTGGGACATCAAGACCGGGTGATGATTAGCTTTGCAGGGCAATGCTGCGCAGGCTGTGTCCTTGTCCTTTATCCATGAGGAAATCCCCTCTTTCTCTGAGGCACTTCATTGGGCCTCACTGAATGAATAAGTCCTTGTGAAGTTGACTGTGCTGAAGAATAAACTGATTAAAATCTAGCATTCGGAGGATTAAAGCTCTCTACAGGCAGGTCCATGTGGGGTTCCATCCAGCCGGGAGCATTCAGGACCAGAGAGAGCATCCCCATGGCATGGGCTGGACTCTGGAAAGAGGGAACCCAGAGATGGGGGAAAGATCAGCCATTGAGCAAGGGGCCCTGCATGCCTTCAGGGAGACTCTGGTGGAGACGCTGCTATCTAGGAGTTTGGGGGACCCAAATACAGAAGTATGCATACACCCAATCTTCAGGGAGACAGAAGACCAACGGACAGCTAGGGAGCTGGGGAAAATAAAATCCCCTCCAGCCACCTGCCAATTGCCTCAGCGTACACGGCTTTGAGGAGTGGTACCAGGCGCTTTGCACTCCTGCATTCAGTAGCAGAATGCCAGAAATCACTCCAACTGGGATCTGAGCTAAGAAATGACCCTGCATGATTTTGTCCATCACCCTTAGAGACGTTGTAGCAGCGCTGAACTGGGCTCTGTGATATGCCCTGTGGTGGATTGAGATTTTATATTAACAGGCAAATGACCGGGCCTCAGTTTCCTCATCTGTGGAAAGGGTGGACTAGATCTCTCCTGAGGTCTTTCCAGCTCTTTATCTCTAATCCTGTTCCCACATGAAACACTTTCCAAAAGGGACAATGACCTTGGTAAATCTCTTTAATGAGATTTATGAAAGGGAAGGAATAAATGGACGTGGCTAAGCAGTGGGTTGGAGCAAGCTGGACAATCTGGTGCAAATACAAACCCCATATCCCTAGATAAAGACTATTGGTATAAGCACTTGGGAGGTAGAACTGAGGGATGGTGGATACCCAGCTGCCCTGAGGTCCTAACAGAGAGGAATATACTTGTAGCGAACAATCCTTTAGCAGAAGCGGTGAGTATCAACTAACCTATTAAATGAATAAAAGCCAAAAGGGATTTTTTGATCTTTCAGAGATATACAAATAGCTCTACCTCAGGACTGACTGGTTTAGTCTTTTTCGCACCATGAGAGTCACTATGGTCATGGAAGGAGTCCTATTTTTTCTTGAGAAAGTAATCTAATTTCTAGAGCATGCAGAATATGGGTGCAATATTAGTTAAATTCACATAACTATCACAGGGCCATCCCCACCAACTAGCAGCCAATAGCTACTCACCGGACCAGCCTAGTTGAAGCAAAAAAGTACCCTGAGGGAGAGAGAAGAGGCAGCATATTCCAGACAAGTCAAACCTACCACCTCTCTGTCAGACAATGATGGAGATAGGCCAAGACCCTGAACCCAAGAATACAGTGAAGAGCAGTGCTCCCAAGCCCACTGCCCCTGCTTCCAGTCCAGGCGCCATCCGCCATTGTCGAGGGGACAATGATCTATGGAGAAGGCACTCACCTTCCTCACTACCACCAACACCAACTGCCACCAACAGGCAGGGAATCCCAAGCGCCCTGGGATGGCAGCAGCCCAGGACCCTCAGCTCTGCAGCATCGTCCCCAAAAGCAACCGCCTTCCCCACCAAGGCAGGCTCTCTGCAGTGGTGCAGACACAGCTACTGAAAACCCAAAGTTTTCACCCCCAAAGTCCTTAGCACTATCAAATGGTTCATCATCAGAACCCATAAGCTCCTATCAGTGTAATAGACAAAGAAAAGTCATGCACCCTAAAGACCATGGGACCAGATGAAAACTTCCATAGGTATTGTCTCCTTCATTAGAATGCTACTGAGAGCCATCCCCAAAGTGGTGTTTTGCACATAGTTAACATTTAATAAATGCCTTTTTCTACTCATTCACTCATAACCAGAAAAAAAAATTCTAAAATAAAAGGATCTACTGTAACTTACTGAGATGCATAAGTTTAGGTCAGTTAAACAAGAATGTGTGAATGAAAAAGTTGTTTTAAAAAAATGGCTTAAGTGGGTCAGACACTCCAAGAGGGAAAGATAAAAATGTAAAATTCCACCAGTTAACATGGAGACAGTCACAAAATGAATCCCCTGCACAGAATCACACAGTTGCAAGGGACCTCAGAGGCCACTTATTATCACACAAAACAAGTAAGAAGGAAATGAGCTCTCAATTTAGTCAAAGAGAAAACTCCTAAGTTGATCTCTAAAAGACAAAAATGGATAAATGACCCCTCCAACTTCTTACAATTATTGGAGAGCCAGCAGCCTTGGATAATACAGAAATGTTATAATTTATTTATACTTTCAACGGTTTTAAAAGAAATATATTAGCCACTGAAACAAAATCCTATTACAGATTAAAAAGTTTAGAGTTCTGAAATGAAGATTCAAATGAAAGACTGGTTTTCAAAACTGAAAAAGCAATTAGGAAACCACAATTATCAGTACTGAAAAAACCTATTTCTTCAAAGAGACTTCTTGTTGTTGTTTTCAATAATGAGAAAGTACTTAAAAACCGCTTAAGTGGGTCAAACACCCCAACAGGGAAAGAGATTTATAACATGTACGAGGAAACTTTTAACAGTGAATTCTTGGAACTGAGCAAGTCTAGGAAAGATTTGAAGGAAATGCAGAAACATGACCTCGTGCCAAAAACAAAAAACAAAAAACCAGCCCAAACCGTAACTAGCTGACGCAATTATTGGTAAGTAATGTTCAACAAAGATGAAAAAAAACGAGAAGGAATCAAGGGAATGGAAGACAAATAAACCTTGTAAGTCAGAACAAGAATTGATCAAACATTCAAAGGCACATAAAGAGAACCAATGAGGGATAGGGTGTTCCCTGATCTCAGGTGGCGCAAAAGCAAATAGAAATGTTATGTTTGCTCTTCGTCCAGAAGAAGGAATCCCGACGAAGGAAAGCTAAAATAAGCAAAAGTCAGGGTAGGGTAAAAGCAACTCCTGCTGTTTTAGTCAACTGCACCAAGACACGAAGAAAAGAAACGATAGATTTCAAAGATTCAATACTTGCTGGCCAAGAGATAGGATTAACAATCAACATGAAACATGTGGTTTACCTAGATTTTAGCAAAACTTTCATTAAGGTATCTCACAATATTCTTGTTGAGGAGACGGAGACATATGGATTAAACAAAAATGCAGTCAGATGGATTCAGAATTAGTTAGACGGCCAGACTAAAAGAGAAGCTTGAAATGGCTCCGTGTCAATGGTGCAGACCTCAGATATGCTGTCAAAGTAATAAGTAAATATAGCTGATTGAGGGTATTAACCATGCATTCAGCTTTTCCAACCACAGCTCATACACCGTGATGTCAGCTGCAACAGAAATACCAAACTTGAGATAGCTCACAGTTAATTTACTACATTTTAGAAATCACAAAGATTCAAGTGCTCGTGAAGCCTGATAGTGCTAGGCAGGGTCAGGCACTGAAAGACAAGGCATTGTACAAATGTCTAACACATACAAAGCTCTGAATATTTTTAAGCCTTTATGTAACCCTCCCACTACGTAACCCTTGGCCTGCCCTTCAGTAGAGAAAGGTGTCCGTAGTATGATGCCATGGTAGGGTGGAAAGAGCATTGGCTCTTGACATGACAATTATGTGCTCCCTGAGTCTTCTCCAAGCTCAATGTGCCCTGCTTCTTCAACCAGTGCTT